CTGGCACCCTACCCACTGAGCCATGGGCACCGCCAGTTTTATTTATTTGTTTATTTGAGACAGAGCTTCACTATGTCGCCCTTGGTAGAATGCCATGGCATCACAGCTCACAGCAACCTCAAACTCTTGGGCTTAAGAGATTCTCTGGCCTCAGCCTCCCAAGTAGCTGGGACTACTTTATTTATTTATTTTTTAATGTTTTTATTTTTACTGTAGCATCTGCCACAACAGCTGGCTATTTTTTTCGTTGTAGTTATCATTGTTGTTTAGCAGGCTTGGACCAAATTTGAACCTGCCAGCTCTGGTGTATGTGGCTGGTTCCCTAACCAGTGAGCCACGGGGGTCCAGCCAAAAGTTAAACTTTTAAAAATTCTTTTTCCTGCATCTTCTTAAATTCAGTTCATGAAAGTCTTTGTAGTATTTACAAATCTAATAAAGTTTAAATACCAGTTTTAAAGAGCTTTGCATTTTTAAATAATTATTTTTTTCTTTCTTCCTTTAACGATTATCTTGCCCTTTGCCTCCCAAGTAGCTGGGATTATAGGCGCCCGCCACAATGCCCGGCTTTTTTTTTTTTTTTGTAGAGACAGGATCTCACTCTGGCTCACTCTGCCTCATGCTGGTCTTCTGCTGGTCTGGAACTCAGCTGAGCTCAGGCGATCCACCATCTCAGCCTCCCACAGCGCTGGGACAACAGGCGTGAGCCACCACGCCCGGCCTACTTATTTTTTTAATGGGTAAAGTATTCTTAATTCAAATGCTAGGGTAAAATATTCTCAATTCAAATGCTATGAGAGAATACACAGTAGAGGTAAACGTCCCTCCCGCCTCTGTCTTCCAGCCACCTCACGGGAAGCCACTGTTGCAGCCAATCTCTTTTGAATCCTTCTGGAGTCATATATATGTGCATGCACAGGCACACACACATCACACACACATGTGTACACTCACACACACGCTCTCTCGTAAGCATGCTTTACATACTGTTTGTGTGCCCTGCTCTTTCTCACTTAACACACCTTTGAGATCCTTCTAGATCAGCACATAGACAGTGTCTCCATTATTTGATACCATTCATTGATGTTTTTATCCTGTCACCTGTTCCCACCTGTCATAGGAATCATGTCATCTGTCACCTGTTGAACTTTTACTCCATTTCCAAATTCTTGGTATACAAGCAGTGCTTGCAATGAAAAACTCTGGACACTCACAAATGACTGATTGTCGTCCCTGACTCTAGTCCAGTGGAGCCCAGCTAGTTCCCCTCATTGACCTCTGTTCCAGACTACCTGGCTTCCCAGGACTCTCTCTTAGCCCCTGAATGGCCACTGCTCACCTGCTGGAACGTTCTTAGTCTGTGCCAGGCAATGGGCTGGGCTCTGTGCTGGCAGTCTCCACTCCTTCCCTCATGGAGTCACAGCCCAGAGAGAGAGGCAGATAGGATGAACAAGGGGACAGTTATTTAGAAATAAGGTGTTAGTTCGGTGCCTGTGGCTCAAGTGGCTAAGGTACCAGCCACATACACCTAAGGTGGTGGGTTCGAATCCAGCCCAGGCCTGCCAAACAACAATGATGGCTGCAACCAAAAATAGCCGGGCATTGTGGCGGGCACCTGTGGTCCCAGCTACTTGGGAGGCTGAGGCAGGAGATTCGCTTGAGCCCAGGAGTTGGAGGTTGCTGTGAGCTTTGATGCTATGGCACTCTACCCAGGGGGACAGCTTGAGGCTCTGTCTCAAAAAAAAAGAAAGAAAGAAAAGAAATAAAGTGATAAGCTCTGGGATAGAGACCTGCTGCCCTAATTTCATGTCCCTCTCAGCCACCTGGGGAGCCACAGAGAAGGGCCATGGGCTTAATACTTGATAACCTTATCCCTGTTCAAGGCTCCCAGGATGGCTTCCTCACCAGTTGTCAGCACAAGGAAGAAACAGGGAGGGGGCACAGAGTGTGGACACAGGGTCACAAGGGGCCAGTGGCCCATCTGGCTGCTCTGCCCCTCACCTGAGCCAGGCCGACTTGCCTGTGACCATTTATCCCCCACCATATCCTGGCCATCTGCTCTCCTTCTGGAGCCCCTGTGCTAACCCCCACATCAGGGCTGGCCACCTTACCACTTTCCTCACTTTCGAAACTACTGACCTATCCCATCAGAAGAGCTCTGTGAGGCTTATGCTGCCAAGTTAGCAGCTGGTGACGGCAGGAGGGGAAAGCAGCATTCAGCACATCCCCCAGCAGGAAGAGGGTGGATGCTACCCGTGAATAGACTCTCATTGGCCAGAAGGGGTGCAGCACTAACAGTGATCTCTGGGAGTCAGCGTCTGGATCCTGAGGGTCCAGTCAGGCCCCCCAAATTTCATCATTTGGAGGCCTTCCTCATCCCCCCAAGCCACTTCAAAATATTCACTCCTCCCCTCCTCCTCACCCTTCCCTGCCCAGCCTGCTGTCCTGAGTTCTGCCTCTGGATCTGTCCTTTGGGTTTATAAGGCACTGCATCTCCAGAAGTCACAGGGAAACATCCCTAAGAAGGGCAGCATGGGCTCCTTAGCATGGACTCAGGTCCCTTTATGGAAAGCAGCACCGGCATCAGTTTTGATTCAGGACATTGAGTAAGCAAATTTGGTTGAGAAGTCCATAGTGGGGCCTGGTGAGATGGCTCATACCTGTAACCCTGGCCCTTTGGGAGGCCAAGGCAGGAGGATCACTTGAACCCAGGAGTTTGAAGTTATAGAGGGCTATGATTGCACCGCTGTACTTTAGCCTAGGTAACCGAGCAAGATGCTGTCTCAGAAAAGAAGAAAAAGAAGCCCACAGTGGGTCCTCTGTGTCTGAGTGGTATGAGATGCTCTGAGGAAAGGTCCTGAAAATAGAAACATGGGTGCTGAAGGAGCAGTTGGGGGGTAGGAGATTACTGAACATGCCTTCCCAGGGAGGAATGGGAGGGGGTGCCTGTTTTGTTTGATGGCAGCAATTTTAACAGGAGCATAAAAGCTGAAAGACTCACCGCAGCCAGCCCTGTTGTGGTTGGTGAAATCAACCCAGATGTCCCTCAACAGATGAATGAATACACAACCTGGTGTGTATACTCGCAGTGGAACACTGTTCCCTTTAAACAGGAAGGAAACCTGTCACATGCTACAACATGGGACACTATGTTAAGTGAAATTAGCCAGTCACAAAAGCACAAATATGTATGACTCCACTTACAAGAGGTTAAATTCTAGACAGAAAGTAGAATGGAGGGGAGGGGTTGAGGAGCTTCTGTTTAGTGGGGACGGAGTTCCAGTTTGGCATGATGGAAAGAGCTCTGGAGGTTGGTTGTATAACAGTGTGAAAATACTTTGCAATACTGAACTGTATACTTAAAAATGGTTGCAATGATAATTTTTTTTGTCACCTGAAGCATCATTGCTCACTACAGCAACAACTCCCAAGCTCAAGCAGTCCTCCTGCTTCAGCCTCCCTGGGACTACAGGCACCACACTCCCCCCCACCAGTGCCCCACTAATTCCTCTATTTTTAGTAGAGACGGGGGTCTCACTGTTGCTCAGGCTGGTCTTGACCACCTGTCCTCCCAGAATGCTAGGATTACAGGCGTGGGCATTGAGAAATTCTATGTTACGTGCATCTTACTACTATGAAAACTTTTTAACAATAAAACAAAATGACCAAAAAGAGGGATGGAACACTCCATGTCTGCCCATGGGGCCTGTCCATCACAGGGACAGCATGGGCTCAGGCAGAGCAGAGCCCGGACCCCAAATGCTCATGGTGTGAGGGGATTGTTTGTAGAGGTGGAACCAGAGGCACAGGTCCTGGCCTCTACTATGGCTCCCTGCTGTCTGCCAACCCCCTTCTGGGGGTTGGCAGCCCCCTCCCGCAAATGCTTGGCAGACACATGCTGCCTACTGCTGCTCCTCCAGAGGAAGCCTGTTCATGCTCGCATCTGCCAGAGATCTCTGGGGCTCATTTCTTTGGGCAGGTAAGCTTTGAGTCCCTGCTGTGTGCAGGGCACTGTGCTAGCTCAAGTCTGGAGATTTGCAGTGGGACTCCTGAAAGATCCTATGGAGGTTTGACTGGTTGAAGTTGGAAA